TATCTTTAAAGGCTTTGTACATATTCATTCCTTCTTTGCCGATCACATTTAACAACGAAGCCACCCGAACTTCCTGTGCTTTCTAACTCGTAAAACTTCCATTCACGAAGAAAAGAATCCCAATTTTCTCCTTGATGCAAACGGTCGGAAAGATTCAACGCCAAGGTAATTTTCGGAACGCAAACTATAGACTTCGTTGAACCTACCAATAACGAACAAAGTGTTGGACTTGAAGACTTCTAAGCTGGAAAGTAATCCTTGATAATTTGGCCTAAATCCCGCTGTGACACCATGGTACGAGAAACGTAAGGACACCGAGCACAAACACAATTCGACAACGTTTATGGCGGCGAGCAAAGGCCACGATCTGATTAGAAAACAACAAGTCACGTGATACAGAAATACATGCTAATTTATTCACTATCAAAATAATCTGGTGTTGTTAGAAATGATTTCTTTTCAGAAGATATTTAAAACAGTCGCACAGAAGTTTGCAATACGATGTAAATAATCTTGCTACAAAGTTGTCCGCTTGTTACTCGAACTTCTGGTGGATTCCCTCTTATCTGTTTGTTTCACGTAGGAACAAGCTTAGTGACTGCTCAAAGACATAAATACCCATGGTTTGGCCGATCAAAAGATAAGGTGCCTGCCCCTGGCAAACAATCAGCGATCCCAAGTAGCCTTAAGGAACGAAATTTTATCCGGGGGGAGACATTATGGAAACGGGTGAACCGCTAGGGAGACGATGAAGACCGCTGACTACTGAGCCGTCTGCCAATCGTGCGTGGCGAGCCAAAACAATGTAAATTTATGGACACCTATACATTGTAAGAATAAAACTTAAAAGATGTTGGCAATAACAGATTTAAGAGAAGCCTTGCAACCTAAGCTACCGCTGTTGTAACGTCCTATTATGAGCTGAATAAAGTGAGTCATACCGTTCATAAGAAGCTGTTACATGACATAGTAAATGGTCTGAACCCAGGAGTATCAGTAGTTCGTATAGTGTGATCGTCCGGGTGAGGGTAGTTCTGAAAAGAACTGTTGTTGGTGACAATACCCTCATCCTGAAGATCGTAACTGATAGTTTCGTCAATGGTAAGACCTTTTTTGAAGTCGTTGTAGAAGCCATTGAGAAGTTTTAGACTTAATCAAATTGTAATAGGTCACAGATGTCGGTTATTGCTAGAAAAGGGGTCCATAGCTGAGTTTAGAACGGGAGTGGTCCAACAAGTTTAATGGGGACTGGAATCTTTCGTGCAACAGAGAGGATCCGCATAGTGATTTAAATTACCCTTTGGATCAACTTTTCTCTAACGGCGAACAGTTTCCGAACAGTAACACCTAAACATGATAGGGTGGCCTGGCCAGCCGAAATATTGTTTTAAATATACTACGTTGTACCAGCCTTACAGTACTCCGGCTTTGACTAATCAGCGTTCAGTTACTTCTCAAGTTTGGCTGATCAGATCTCCTGTGAGATCCAACGTTCAAACCAGCAGAATCTTCGCTGACGACTTTGTAGTTTGTATAGTTTATTAAACTTGAACTTACAGCTAGAAGATTGCCTTTTAAATTTTCTCCACAGTTCAGAAAAAAGCGCTGAAATGAGCAATGACACGAGATAACAGTGTCACTGAGGATGAACAACGGTTACTTTCGAGATACTTTGATACATGAGTAATATAAAGCGATTAGGGATAAGCTTCAGTCTTGCAAATTTCCCACTGGGCGTTAACCTTAATAAGGAAATGAAACTACAGGAGGTAAAAGCAAAATATTTGACCTTGGTAGGATTTGAAAGAACTTGTTGTTGTGCCGACTGACTTACGAGGACAGACGGGAACAAGACGTGGATACTCTCACAGGCATTCAACAAAACTAACGACCAACAGCAACAACAATAACAATTATCTTTACTGGTTCACAAACAAAGCTACATCGAAGATATTAACTACGTTAGAAGTTACTTCTTTGGCAAACGAAAATGTACTGAGATATTAATATAATGAGGAATATCACCCCAGAGATCTATAGCCTGATGGAGAACTCTTGTTTTCCAATGTTAGTACGAAGACCTGGTTTACATAAATTTTGCTCCCAATGCATACCTTGTGTTATGTGTGTGCCGGCTCGGGTATATTGGAAAGGGTTTTCAAACAGGCTTGCATGGTAGATGCCCTTTGTACCACAAATGCGTAAACTTAAGAGCCTGGAAACGGTAAAAATTATTTGCTGATAGGACATCAAGAAGATTTAAGAAAGGGAAAGCACTTTCTGTGTAAGGTCCAGACTGCAAAAAAACCACTAATCTTAGCTTAGGACCGTATTTCAACCTTTCCAAGTGCGTTTTGACCACCGATATCAGAACACCATATACGAGTGAGAATTAGAACTAGAAGGTATGCAAGTATAATTAAGATCGTATTTCCCAGGATGTTAAAGTCACTTACTGTATTCCGGGTTTTGCTAGTGCACAAATAAACTTTTTTTTTACGAATCTTTTTTTCCTGAGGAATTTTGGATGTACGAAGCAAGAAGGCGACGTCCGGCCATGTTCCATGTGAACAAATGCCCTCGAAACGGAAAACTGGCAACAAGTGAATCGGGGACATAATGAGTTGCTTAGAGAAGAGTTGCAGAAAGATCTATTTAATTTCATATTTTGTCATCGTGTAGTAGGTGTTTATGGCTATAGTCAATCACGCTCCAAGCTAGAGAATGAACGTGGCTCACTAAACCAATTTGCACCGGCCTTCGTCGAGTGGACTCAGACACTACAAACTCGGTCACAGGGACAATTCAATGTTCTCTTACAAACACGATGAGGCGAGTTCGATTAGTTTTTTTACGGAGCTTAGACCTACACCAGGCCGGCATTACGTTCGCATTGCTAGTTGTCCTATAGGGATCTCTAGCCTCGCCAGGCTGCTAATTTCCAACTTTGTGTCAAGTTACCCCAAGAATTTCTTGGTACCTATTACTTGAAAGAGGCACTCATTGCGAACAGTGTTATGTTACCGAACATAAGGTGAGGAAAATAGCTTAAGCTCTAATATCCTTGATCAGCAATTCAACTGACCTTTGAGGTATCGACCAAAATTTATCTTCGCATTAAAGGTTTAGAACTGCTTCCCTTTCAAGTGGCTTCTATTGCCGCCAGCTTAGGTCTTCAGCAGACCGACTTCTCATTTTGATTTCTGTTGTATAGAAGTAGCACGTCGTAACACATATCGATAAAACAAACCTTAGCCAACCATAACCCGAACGTGCTGTAAAATATGAAGTTTTAATCAACTGTGGATTCGCGTGACCATATAACGCGTACTTTGAAACAAGATCTATGCAATGGTTTGCACCAAAAATTATGCAATGGTTTGATTTCTTGTTGAATTTCATCAGCAACAGCTTAATTAGACGCGTTAGTGAAAAACACTTGGCAAAAGCAAAAACTTTCGCGCTAGAATGTTAGTTGAAAACAGGCATGTGTTCTCGGCCATTGAATTTAACTGGCTAAAATGTTGCAATAAGTATAACTTATACAGGATACACGCATTCATGCAAAAGTCAAAAAGATAAGAAGATTATCAGGACTGCAAGTGATTTTAACTAGAGAGAGTGGACTGAAAAGGCTGCTAATTGAATTATTTGATCGGATCCCTTTTTAACTTGCCGCTTTTACACAACTATACCGTTAAGATGTCACCTGTTCTTGGAGATTTTATACCATGGGTCTACTTTCGAGTGACATTGTCTGGACAATGATTTAATTTAAACTGAAGTACTCACTTGTTGCAATCAGTGGTGTGTTTTTGCACTTTTGGTAAAGCTTTTGCAGTCTATTGTTTCCGGCAACGGGGATAGAGCGTTCTTTTGTGTTTGCTCCGAGACTTGGCATAATTTACCCTTAGCTTTGCGCAGATTGAATTCGACTGATAGTTTTCAGAGGGCCTTTAAGATCTATCTTTTTCAGAATTTGTGAATAGCCGTTCTTTGTTTTGTAAGTAAGGCCATTTTAGTTATTTTAGGGTATTATTTTTACTTTGGTTATTTTTTACTTATTTGTATTTTTTTTCTAAGTTAGTCATCGCCATGAACTTAGAATATTATTATTATTATTATTATTATTATTATTATGATTGTTATTATTATATTTCTTAAACGTGATTTCCTTGAAGGACTGAAACTTCATTCTGTAGGTCCCAATCTCATGCGCCATCATACACCCCCCGGGATTTCAAGGCCTTCTTGACTTTTCAATTAATAAACGTTTGTCTATTACTCACAAAATTCGGTTTTCCCTCCCTGTAATTTCTACTTCCTTCTCGGGGGAGTTTCATTGCATTGGACTTTCAATTTGGCGCCAAAACAGGGCAACTGAAATCGGGGACTCGTCAAGCATGTGTCGTCAGGCAATAGTTGTTCCATCCGTCACAAAATGTCTTGTTCCTTGCAAATTTTAGCGCAAAATTCTCAGCTTAATCCCGGTTTTTATTTTTGTTACGAAGAACAAAAACTTCTAGCAGTGACGTGCCGGTTGGATAGTCAAATTGACGTCCGCTTTTTTACCGTCTGTCCTGTTTTAATCACGAATATTTTAAAATACCGTTTGACTGCATTTGTGCTGCGGGCGCAGCCTTCCTATGCAAGGTGTGAGGAAAACGTAATCCAACATGACTAATGAGTCTTCTTTTACAACTGGCTTCTGCTCGCTTCGATCTAGGGTGATGTCATAATTTATATTTTGCCCAACTACTTTCAACCCATGAAGATGCAAGTCCTTCAGAACACGTTTCAAATTTAGTGACTTTGCTTTAAACCTGCATCAAATGATAGATCCTATTCATAAATGGCTGCCAATTTTAAATTCTTTTGTATGTATTTAAATTAGCCCAACTAACCTCTTTTGAAAGTAAAAATTCTTTTGAATTATCGACTCAAAAACGAGGTTAGTTGGGCTAATTTTAATACTTACAAAATAATTTTTAATTGGCAGCCATTTATGAATAGGGTCTATTGTTTAATATAAAAAAAAATCAGTCTATCATTTTATCATGCTTATAACGTTTGTCATAGTGCATCGATTGTTTATGCAATTGCCGAAATACCCGAAGCAAAAGAGAAGCCCTATTTTACTGCAGTTGTTCATATAGACATTTACAAAGATCGATCAGGAGGCTAATGTGATGAATTACACAGATTGGATAAGTAAAACCGGTAGTAGTTCCCTTGACCTTATGTGACTGTAAAGCAATTCACTCCAAGAAGTTTTCTTGAGTGGCCAAAACCAACGTTATATGATATTGGTAATTACTGGAGAGCTTTTGAACCTGGAAAAAATATAAACTCAAGGAACAATCGCTGGAATCTCGTTTAAGTACTTTATAAGTGTTTACCGCGTTGGTCGAAGACAAAATTGTCGCCCACGTCTTGAGGTGAGAAGGGGTTACGACATAACGCACGTAGAAAGAATCTCTTTGGAGGTTTGCTTGTTTGCTCCTTTTCTGTGTAAAATACCTGTCAATTCCATCTAATACATCAACTTAGGCTTTAAAAGTTACAATTGTTACACGATCAAATGTAGTCGCTTAAGTTCCCGTGACCCACAACTTGGTACTTTTCAACAAGTTTGAGGAAAAAAAAAATAGGTTGTCATTGAAGCTTTCATTGCATAGATTCTTCAATGACATTACTAAACCGTGATTGGGCCCTCGAGAACAATAGCCATAGATCGGGTTCAAGAACTTTAAAGGTCAATAATAATGAAACCAAACTTTACAGACAAAAAAATGTGAAAGATGGATTTTTAGTTCAAATTTAGAAGACGTCTGTCGCTTAGCCACGTGGAAAACTGGCTTATATGTTTAGGTATTAGCTTAAATTGTTGAAATCCAATAACAAATTGGTAGAGAACAACATTAACTTGCGTCATAAAAAGCCAGTAACACGATTATAACCGCTGCAAGTGCTTACAACGAATTTAACTTCTTTACTTCGTCATGGAGGCTATGTACTTTTAAAGGATATAACACGCCAGACAATCCCGCTATATCCCGTTATATTAATCCATGAATAAACTTTCAAAAAAAGCAAACAGAAATAATAATAGAAATAAAATAAGCAAGTCTGATTATCTCTGACGCAAGCGAGTTTATTAATAGATTAACGGGATTTATTTCATTTAATATGTTTTAACTGGAGATCGAGAACCCTGCTAATTGAATTAGCTGATCGGACTCTTTTTAGCTACTGAACACTGTGTGGTTTCTGTTGATAACAGATATCTCATGACGTATTTATTCCGCGGGTCCTCCCCCACAGACTTTGCTTGTGCCTCGTAATGTTTATGTCTGTGTATTAGTGACGCTCCATGTTCGTCATCGTGGCAGCTTTTCGGACAAAACAACATTCTTAGTATCATAATATGCGGGGCAAAATACGAAAATCTGAATGAATGTACTTAGAGACGGTTGGACAAGACGGTTGGACAAGACGGTTGGACAAGACGGTCGTCTCCCCGCAAGTTCATTGAACAAGGGTAATTAATTTGGTGTCCTATTCCTTGTCTATCATCAAGGGAAAGCGACCTCACTCATTCAAATGCGTGCCAAAAGAGACCATATTACCTGACTGATGAACGATCGTTGATGTACTCCCGACGTAATGATTCGCTTGTGCCACGCGCAATGATCGTCGTTGCAGCACGGGCCTTTGAAATGTCACTCACAAGGTTGGCGGTCTGTTAGTAATGAGCTGAAATTGGATTTCCAAATTTGCTGCACCTTTGGATCATTATTCCAGCCGCAGGGGTCCTCTTCTGAAACACGACATACATAAGTAGCTCGACAGCAAGCTCCAAGATACCGTAGTGAGCAATCAATTAAGACATTTCCTTTGCCGTCCCGTTTGCCTGAGTAACGATGCATCTCTCACTTCGAGCAAGAATAGCGTCGGCTTGCGTCTTACTCTGCATGCAAGTACTATCGAGTGATACAAGGTAGGTTCCCTTTTGCTCATTTGACACTCCAGTTGTTCAGATACCGATATATTTATATATGATTGAGCTGATCAATGAAACCCGGCCACGCCGGCTCGTTAGACTTTCAGGGTACGATATCTTTACATCTGGTCTTCCGCTGGAGGTGGATCCAATACTGAACTTAAACACTGTCTGCAAGAATACTCCTTCTTTAAACAAAGAGCAACTGGAACTTTGTAAAACACATGCCGATGTTGTAGCCAGCGCATTGCAAGGCGCTCAGATGGCTGTGCATGATTGTAAGAAACAGTTTGCGTACAACAGATGGAACTGTTCCTCGCTGGAATCCAAGAATCGCAACCCACTGACAAGTCCTCTGTTAGCAAGAGGTGAGTAGGCAATCACGCAAGATCTCTTGGCCATAATGTTAGTTCTCTCTCTCTCGACTTCCTCTCTCTCTTTTCTCGGAGCTGAATATTTAAACAGAACCTCTTTGTCGACCCTTAGATCAACAGAAAAGCAGTAGAAGAGTATATCTCAAGCTGGAACCTTTAACATCAATTTTATATAGCAATCATCAAAATAAAAGTAAATAAGAGAGACTGTTAAGTGACGGGACGCCATTACTTCTTTGCATATGACCTTTGTCTTGTAACTAGGATTTAATCGTTTGCTCTAGTTCTCTGTGGCTTTGCCGTGAGAATTTCCTAGAATTTGCGCGGCTCTTAATTGAAAGAAAGAAACATTGTAAACAAACAGGTTCGTCAGCTATTTTAAAAAAGGCGAAAATAAGCTCGTCAGAAAAATCCATTAACGTTTATTATTATAATGGCTTCCTCAAAAGTACGAGGTCTACATAGTTTACGAGCTCTTTTAAATGTAAACATCCAGTACAAGAATTGACCAGACATAAGTAGCTTACTCCGCTGCGACACATGTAAACTTTCACCAATCTCATCCGATTGACTTAAATTCAGATTGTATGGTTCATTGTTTAAGTGCAATGAAATGTCCTCTCGAAACTTTAAATTCCTCTTAAAATGGAAGCAGGAAACCGACCTTGATACTCATCAGGAGAGTCTTAATCCGTTCCATTAGAAATTTATCGGTTTCGTGTAAAACGACTGAAGAAGCCGAACGGAATGACAAGAAGGTATCCAAAACACGAAGGAATTTCTTCGGTGGGCATATTTTCTTCCTCACAAAACCTCTTGCTCTTCTTCGATTATTGCAGTCAATTTTTAGTACAACAACATATACTAAGCAATGAGTCGTAATGAGTCACACATGTTAAAAACATTGGACAAGTCAGAGCTTTGTAAACAGCTGCTTTACTTTCGATTATGTCCTATGCATTCAGATGGTTTGAGACACATTGTTTTAGTTTTTGTACACAGTACTCTTTCTTAATCTTAGCCCAAATCTTCACCTGCCACATATCTGACCATTTCCGGTTTTTCGTTACAACCGTGATCACGGCAAACCGAAATCATGCCTTAATACCTGGTGTTATAATTTATCAACTTGCAGGATTTAGAGAGACCGCCTTTGTGCATGCCATTATTTCTGCGGGAATGACACAAGCAATTGCAACAGCGTGCCGCATGGGTAAACTAGGAACATGTGGATGCGACGCCTCTGTGACTGGAGAGGGACCAGGATATAGCTGGGGAGGATGCAGTGACAACATCGGCTACGGTGCAGAGTTTGCAGCTCAGTTCATGGATTCTCGAGAAAAAGGAACTGATATAAAATCCCTGATGAATTTACATAACAACCGAGCTGGTCGTATGGTAGGTATCATAAAATATCTAACTGTACTCAGTGACTGTAGAAGAGAGACACTCACTCGGTCAAAGTAGGAACTTTGACAATTCCAATAAATAATTTGTAGCTATCAAAATACCACTTAATAAAAGAAAAAACAACAACATTACATGCAAGTACTACTCGACAGTAATGATTTGAATGGTACACAGTAGAATTTTATCATTTCACAATTCAGTGTTTGAACGACATAACTCAGTGCAAGTTTTAACTCGAGGGGAAGAATGGACTTTCGTTGATTATTTCTCTTATCATTTTGTCAGTTTAGCATTACCTTTCCATTAGCGCCGTCTGCGAGGTGGTTTTGATTTAATCCTTCAACGTATCGTCTAAAGATTATAGATTGGTCAGAAATGGATGCCTAGCAATTCAACATTGCACGCAGGGTCATAGATTTGACACGATTGTATTTGTATCATATGTTAAAGAACAATGCCACATTTCATAAGGCACGGAACCCAATTAACCAGGTGTAAAATTGTAATTTAAATCGAAAAAATTGCCAAAGTATACTTCTTAGATAATGCAGAGGTTTTGTCCTTCTCACTTCCCTTACTGCCCAATTGGGCGAATATTGATGTTTGGACGTGAGCTGATAATTGGATTTCCACACCTCTTCCTTGGGGCGGGAACATCATTTCGTCTTTTTTTGAGTCTCACTTACGACGTCTTACTTTGTTTCAAAAATAAATCCTTTAAAATATCAAATCAGGTCATTCAGTTATTAACACATTCCTTTCAATTCGAGTCGCAACTATAATGGAATGAATCCATGATTGAATAGTTAATTAATCTTCGTACGAAAGGAAGTCGTTGAATAAATTCCTGTCATAGTGTTTGTTTGCGTCAAAGTGACTCAAATTGTTAAGGGAGGTACACCCACAAAGAACAACACAACCATCCACTAGAATTTTGCGTTAGTGGTGGAAATTTGCAAAATGGTCTTCTTCTCGTGATTCTTGTTCGATGCGCAGTCTGTCATTTAAGTAGAAGGTCTTTGAGCTCCTTGACATCAAGATAGTTCATTTCCTGTGCGGAATTTTACTTGTTTTGAAACGTCATTCGATCAAGACTTCCTACTTTATGATTATCCCTAACTTTAACACCAACCGACGGAGATCAATAAATCAGTAAGTATATTACAGCCTGGATAATTGGCTAATTTAGAAAGGGCATGAAAGAGCAGAGATAGCCCCACTGAGTTTGTCTCAGCTAGTTTAAATAGGTCTTTAAAGACGTCTGAGTATTCGTGCCTGTTGAATTCTGCACATGTTATGTCAATTTATGAAGTTCAAAGGGGCATCTCTCTAAACAGCAGGCAAATTCCTATCTAATTAGAACCAGAAATATAGGATAACTAGCAGAATTTTCCCAGCAGAAGAATGTTCGACAAAATTGTCAGTTTAACAAGGAGACATTGGCGGGCCACTTAAACACGAACCGTTGCGCATTGCATTCATAAAAATGCTAGTCGAATTTTTGAGGGGGCTCTGTATTATGGGAAGTCCTAAGCCTAGACCCGACATCATTTCAAGTTGCTTTGCATCAGGTTAGTAGAATTGGGGCAAGATTAAGCTAGTCTTATCAACAAACATGTGAAAAAGCAACCCATTTGTAAATCTAATTAGCACACATGGCTTGCCTTGCCTAAGGAGTGCTTTGTCTGTCCATTGAGCTTATCCACTGAGAAACAAACACAGATGTCGAGACCTAGTCGGGACTTTGTAATGTATCACACGATTTGAGCCAAATGACGACTTAACATAACAGTAGAATGAAATATTACATTTGACACATGAAATGGAAGGGCTGATGTCCACTTTCCCAGATGTGCCCAAAAAGATACTGGCTGTTATCGCGCCACTCCCGTATGAAAAGAGAAACTTTAATCGATTTACTACATGGAAGAAAGGGTTCACATGAATCGTTTGCCTAATTTTTTAGTAATTTTTACCAACTAGCAACATTGCTTGAAACGTTCATCGATAATAACTTTAGAAGTAATAATTGTAGAGGTTTTTCCGTTGCAAATATGCCGGTTTAACTCCAACCGACGGAATAAGATAAAAAAAAAAAAA